TCTTTTGTATTAAAAGGATTTGAAAATTTAGAATGTATGGGCTCAATGCACAGCAAAAGTCAGGTAGTGTAAATCAGCACATCTGTAGCATTGTCAATGGAGGAATAGCAGATTGCACCATGAATGCATTTTGCCCAGATTTGCAGGAAACATTGGAGAAAAAAAAAACCAAAACTGGAGGGAAAGGAAGACAGTTCTGCAAATGTTACTTGTGATGGCAGGATAAAGTCTGGCTATTTCTTTTGAATACACTGGGGTTGCCGTGGGAACCCTCCCATTCACCTGCACGTTGTGGTAATTAAATCACAGCAGCCCCTGCACATGGGCCTCACCAGCAAACAGGCACGGTTCATCCTGCCCATCAACAGCAGGGGATTAAAGACACTGCCCCTGTCTTTATCTGACCATCCAGACAAGCAGGGACCTATGTTGGAGCAGCAAGAGGAGAATTTCAGGAATACCCTTATTTTGGCAAGAAACACACCAGTGTAAGCTGAAAATAATGAGGTTTAACTTCTGCCTGCTGTTAAACAGTGTCACACGTGCTGTGTTCAGTGGCAATCAAATATGTGAAATTCTTCACCATTTACTGGAACACTTTGGTTTTCCTCCTTCTCAAATCATCTGTTTTGACAGAGAACAGAAGACATTTCTACAGTTTTCTTTCTGATTTCAGTATTTAATTCAGAATTTTTCTCCCAGCCAGAAAGGCTGGAGATCAGAGCCATTCCCTACATACCTGTATGTCTGTTACCTTGGAGAAATGACTTTTGTAGGTTCTCCTTGCAGATGGACTGGGCTTGGTTATTCCAGCATAGGATTGACCTCTGCTATCAGATTTGACCACTGCATGCAGAGCATATTGCAACAGGAATCACACCAAATAGTAATTTTCTGAGTGATCTGAAGGCATGTTTGCCAGATCTTACCTTGGGGGAAGATTATCAAGGGATAGCAGACAGGACACTTTAAAGAAGAATGGAAAAATATAGCAAGTTCCATTTGTGCTGTGTTCTGACTTACACTTTTCATCTCACTTTATGCTGAATGACATATGTAGCAAATTTTTATAGGTTGCGTTAACGTGAATATTGTAAATTTTTCTACATGACTTTTATATAAAACGTTTTTACTAAGTAGTTATTTAGTCTCACAGTGATTATTGGTGTCATCCTGTGGTTTCCATGACAACCCTGTCTTAAATCATTTCCCTGACATTGATTGGTATCAGATATAATCCACTAAATGGTTGCAATGCAAAGGACAAAATGCAAACCATTGAGCAATGCCATGTTGTGTAATTCCATGTAACTGGCTTCCAGATCCCAGCTGGTGAGCTGCATCTGGAAGCAGTAAGCTGAAGAAATCCCTGAAAATGATCTTGTGACCAAAGGACAAAATTCTGAGCGTTTCCCTTGAGGTACTTCTCATGTTTCTGGACTTTGGCAATTATTTAAGCACTGGGAATTATTATTTAGTAGCAAAACATCTGATCTTTACCCACTACCAAACTACAGTAGAAGATGTTTGTTCAGCCTGGAGAAGAGAAGGCTCTGGGAGACCTTACAGCACCTTCCAGGACCTGAAGAGGCTCCAGGAGAGCTGGAAAGGGACTTTTCACCAGGGCACAGAATGACAGGGCAAAGGGGGATGGACTCACACTGCCGGAGGGCAGGATTAGATGGGATATTGGGAAGGAATTCTTCCCTGTGAGGTGGGCAGGCCCTGGCACAGAGTGCCCAGAGCAGCTGTGGCTGCCCCTGGATCCCTGGAAGTGTCCAAGGCCAGGCTGGATGAGCAGCTGGGATGGTGGAAGGTGTCCCTGCCCATGGCAGGGGTGGAACCAGTGCACCAAGGGATGGAGTTCTCTCTGGAGTTGGGGAGTGAGTCTGAGGAAGAGGGACACAATGCCCAGGTGCGACCCAGTGAGCTGAGTCTAAACCTCAGAATTAGTGACTGCAGAGCCCAGCTTTGCTGATTAATAATCCAGCAGTGTTTTGAAGTCTGCTTGCAGATATTACTGCTATATAAACATCTGTAAAGTAATTTGAGCTCATTCTGTGTTTTACTTTATTAAGCTGGATTACTGCTATTCCAACAGCACTCCAGTGATGAGAGTTGCTAAACCATAACCTTTGAAAGCATACACCAGGTGCTACCTCCTGCTCTAAACCACATTTATAACAACAGTCAAAACACCTTCTGTCCCTGGATATAATTAAAAAAAACTGAATTTGCTTTTCTCTGAGTTTTGGAGGTGCATAATTTTAAAATGAATCTCTGCCTTACAGTCTGTTTTCCAGTTTCTTCTTCTCTCCACAATAAACACATAATGATTGTAGGTTCAAAGCCTTCAGATATTTCCATGACAACAAAGACTGATATAAACAAGAATTAGAACTTTACTGGACAAGAAGAAAACTGAAAGAAATGAACATAGGAGAGGAATCTCAAAGCTCCCCACAAATAGAAACTCTTCTACTTCATCTCCAGTGCTCAATGCAGTTTTGAAGCTACTGAAGAGAAACACAAATAATTTAAGATTTCCATGAAAGGTAAATGTCTAGTATAATGTGTTTTCTAAATTATCTTTTTAATATCTGGTTTGCTCATACATCCAGCTAGTGGATAAATAGAATAAAAAGTCCTTAACTTCAGCCCCTTTCTCTCATTGCAGTAAGACCAATGCCTTCACTCTTGTCTTCTTGGCAACATAAAACTAATGTTCTTGTAGCTGAGGGCTGGTAGATAACTTCTGGGAGCCTAAAGCCATCTGCTCTCACAGTTCTTACCTCTTCTATCACCACTATCTGCACCACTGTCCTTCAGCAAATGCAAAGTCCAAGCAGGAATCCATCATCATGCAGCGTTTGTGGATGACAAATCTTTACATTCCATCAAATTTGGCCTGCAATTGCCAAAGAAATAAAAAAGAAAACTAAAGCTGCCTTTCTTCTCTCTCAGCTGGCATTTTTTTCTGGCTCTGACCCAACCCCATGCAGGAAAAGCAGCCAGAGGAGCCCTTGACTCATGATACCCTTTCAAGAAGGAGATCAATGTTGCTGCATTTGAAGTACAACTGCCAGTTCTGATCCAACTGGCTCAAAACACATCAAACTCCCAAGGAAGGCAGGGTTAAACCATTGCATTGCAAGCTCAGGTTGTCTGGAGTGTGCAGATCTAGTGCTCACTCACTGCTGGGTACTTGATTTGGTATACACACCACAATCAGTTATTATTCCAGAAAAGAATAAATTATTTTCCTGTGAAAAAAAAACCCAAAAACAACCCCCCCAAAAAAACCCAAACAAACAAACAAAAAAACAAACAAAAAACCCCAAAAAAACAACAACAACAACAACAAAAACTAAACAAAAACAAACAAACAAAAAACCAGAACACTTTTCTCTCCCTGGGGAAAGAGAAATGGTCATTTTTGACAAGACACAGTTGAGCAAAACCAAAAAGAATTCAATGAAGGATCCCCTCTACATAGAAAGTCACATTTATAGCTTAGGGCTATTTTCTCTGGTAGATATCAACATCCTGCAGCTAATGCCACTGGTCTGGGAATGTATTAGGGAAAAGAAATTTGAAAAAAGGAGTGAAGAAATTTTAAAAAGGAGTGAGTATAATAATGCAAAGTATTTGGCAGCCTAACCACATAAGCAGTTGCCGTCTCCTCCATAATATAAAGCAATGTCATGTAAATTAGACTGGGGACATAGTTCTAATATGAAATAACTGTATTTTAGTGGCATAAAGTCCATTATTTTTATTCAGACACATATAACACAACTATGCAGGCAGCTGGGTAGACAAAGAAGTACATTAAACTCTTCCTCCTTTTCAACTGCAATAATGTGCAGCCATCCCTCATAAAATTTAGCAACTGTTGAGTAACTTGCTGCAAAACTGTCTCACAGTTCATGAGCAGGAATGAGAATACTGATTCCAGTGAAACTGCAAAAATATATCATCCAAATTAGGATATGGACAAGGCACAAAGGCTAATGCTTGCATGATTACAGAAGGCACAAATTACAGGAAACAGGCACATGCAGAGGCACAGGCAGAGTAACTCAGCATTGTGTCACATCACACTTTGCTCTGTCTACCCTCCAGCAAAGCCCTGCAGCCGTGGAAGGGAATGCTGAAGTGCACCCAGGGAAAAGGCACAAACCTGCTTCCCTGCTGAACTGATGGAGCTCAGAGCAGCCTGGGCTGGTGGAAGGCATCCCACGGCAGGAGGTAGGAATGGGATGAGCTTTAAGATCCCTTCCTACCCAAACCATTCCACGATTCTATGGTTAAGGTAGATGCCAACATGGATTCAGGGCACTGGCCGTCCCCTGAGAGCTGGGACACAAGAGATCCAGCCCCTCCAGACAGACAGTAGTGAAAAAGGTTGTGTTGCAGCATGTATACCTTAGAATTTGTGGGGACAAGCTGGAGAAATACACCCTATACAGATGTGTGGGAAGTTACTTTGATCTCACCTTGTTCTGCTCACATCTCATTTCAGTACACCGTTCTCCTTTGGTACAACAGGAGTCTGCAGCTGGGGAAGCACGGCTCTGTCTGTGCCTGCAAAGGGCAGCGCAGAGGACAGCAGTAACACGCTGAATTGAAATTTAATTGCAGGTAAATCATGTAAACGCGGGTGTCTGCTGCAGCTTCGCTGAACAGGAGCCTGGCCGGGCTCCTGCCAACATCCAAGGGCAGAGCAAAGATACGAGCGAGGAGACAGCAATCGCACCCGCGGCTGCGGGACCGGCTGAGCGCCGCGGGGCGAAGTGTGCGGGGACAGAGCGCCGAGAGCGCCGCCCGGGGAAGGGACCGCTGCTCGGGGAGCACGGACCGGGCACAGCACCGGGCACCGGGGCTCCGGGAGCACGGACCGGGGCACCGCACCGGGCACCGGGAGCACGGACTGGGGCACCGCACCGGGCACCGGGAGCACGGACTGGGGCACCGCACCGGGGCCGGGCCGCGCCGCGCCGGGCGGGGATGCGCAGCCCGCGGCGCCAGGATGCGGGAGGGGAGCGCGGGCGGCCGCGGCGCGGAGAACCGGACGGGCGCCGAGCCCCCGCTGCACCTGTTCCCCGTGCCCGTGCTCACCGGCATCACGGTCGCCTGCGTCCTGCTCTTCGTCATCGGGATCATCGGCAACCTCATGACCATGCTGGTGGTGTCGCGGTTTCGGGACATGAGGACCACCACCAACTTCTACCTGTCCAGCATGGCCTTCTCCGACCTGCTCATCTTCCTCTGCATGCCCCTGGACCTCTTCCGCCTCTGGCAGTACCGGCCCTGGAACTTCGGGAACCTCCTCTGCAAGCTCTTCCAGTTCATCAGCGAGAGCTGCACCTACTCCACCATCCTCAACATCACGGCGCTCAGCGTGGAGCGGTACGTCGCCATCTGCTTCCCCCTGCGAGCTAAAGTCATCATCACCAAGGGGAAGGTCAAGCTGGTCATCCTCTTCCTCTGGGCCATCTCCTTCATCAGCGCCGGCCCCATCTTCATCCTGGTGGGAGTTGAGCACGAGAACGGCACGAACCCCCTGAGCACCAACGAGTGCCGAGCCACAGAGTACGCCATCCGCTCGGGGCTGCTCACCATCATGGTCTGGACCTCCAGCATCTTCTTCTTCCTGCCCGTGTTCTGCCTGACCGTGCTGTACAGCCTCATCGGGAGGAAGCTCTGGAGGAGGAAGAGAAAGAACATCGGTCCAAACACTGCCATCAGGGATAAGAACAACAAGCAAACTGTGAAAATGTTAGGTACGAGTCCTCTTGCTCTGTTTTACCAAAAGGATGTGTGTGCTCGTGTGTGTGTGTGAGAGAAAGACAGGGAGCTCTCTGATAGTTTACTATAGTTCCTTCCAAACGAAAGAAAACGTTTCATACAAAAGGCTAAACCTCAGGGTAGCTGTAGGGTAACTCTCCTTTTCCCTTAGATTTGTTTCTAACTGGTTTGAGCTGGGAACTCCCAAACAGTTAAACAAACATTAGTAAGAATCCCTGACAAGGACAAATACTGCAGTTATAATTAACTTGTGCCCTGGAGATTTTTGAGCATTTTTGCTCTTTGGTTGTGGATACCAATGTTATTTACAGAGAACAGTTTATTTCATTTTTAAACAAAACTAAACCCTTCTCAAGCCATGAAGTTGAGCTGCAGACTACAGCCAGGCAGGCAGGGCATGATGTGCACTAAGATTCATAGGAAAAGAATATCAAGGTTTTAGCAAATTGGGGTTATTTCCTACCATGGCTGTGTAAGCTTATGAAAATTAATCTGCATGTTCATATTAGCAAAACCCCAGGATATGCTGAACCAGGAGCACCGAGTCTCCTTTGAGGTCTGTGATGCTGTACAATCTCACAGACTGTCAGAAAACAGGATCAGGACAACAAACACTGTCATTCCTAACTTTGTGTATCGACACTGCTGAATGCTTTAAACAGCACCTGTGGTTGGCACATGGAAACACAAGTTTTAACGTTTAACTAAGTCACTGCATGTAGTGGCAGTCTGAAACACAAACCCAAAAAGTTGTCCTGCAGTTTGGTGTCTGAAAACTGCAGAATCCTGCTGCTGCTGCTGCGTACTTTTATCCAAGCCAAAAGTCCTCTGCAGTGCAAGTCATCCCGTGGATTTTTGGGGGGACAAGATGCTCTGCAGGAAGAAGCTTTCACAGGATCCTTTCAGCAGGGTTGAAGTGGTGGGCTAATGAGGCAGACAAGAGGTGGCAGTGAGTCCTAAGTACCTTAATTATCAGATAGGAGCCTATCTGATCTTTTTGTTCATGTCCTAATTTATTACTATGCAACAGCAGGAAGAATAATAAAACCCACAGCATTCTTTATGCCTTTTCAGCTACGTTTTATGATCAATAGAATTACTTCAGTCTGGTAAGCGTGACCTTGAAAGTAATTAATTGCTCACACTTCTAGAGGTTCAGGATTATGAACTTCCACTGACTAGAAGTAAATTACATATATTACTACCATGCTTATATTTCCATATACTTAACTGAAAATAATTTTGAAATAAAAAATGCTTATTTCTGCTCTGAAGTGTTGCCACAAGCATTGCAATATTTCAGGCATTCTTGTTTTTTTTTTCCTTTTACAAGGTCTGAGAACAGCCAGGCAGTGGCAAGACTCTCCTCTGACAGAGAGCCAATATTCCCTAAATGATAACAGTCTGATGCCTGATAGAAAGATGGGAAGAAGTTAGTGAGGGCTCAGTGGCAGCAGATGCTCAATGCAGTGTCACTGGTGTTAAAGTTCTGCTTAAAATTTAGAAGGTGCTTTCTGAGGCTTTATTAAGTCATGGAACATCAAGCAAATGGGATTAGCATCAGATGTTCTTTTAACGGTAAAGACAGGTTATGCTTCTGGGACTGAAATTAAACACCTAAACATATAGCCTGATCTGCAAAGGAGCTATCACATCCCATTCCTATTGAAATCCATGGGTTTCTGCATGCATGAAGATCAAACTGTCAAAAGCCTGACTAGGAATATTGCATGCATATGTGTGCTGAAAATTCTAGTCATAACAGACTGTGCTTTAAACTCTGCTCATTCACAGTGACCATCATGGTAATATTCATTACATGGATTCAAATCCCCATGTGAGCTAGGGAATCACCTGAATTTTGTAGTGAAGATAGTGAGGAAAACTGGAAGTGGTTGGCTCCAGAAGATGCAGAGCTGGAAAACCTATTCTGAACCTCAAGCTCTGGTGCTTTCCACTCCACCACAAGTCCTGCACAAGCATCTTTTACAACTTGGGAATGCTGGTGCAGAATTTTTGGGGAAAGATACCTATAACCATTCCTCCCAGTAATTTGAATTTCATTATCTTCTGAGACATGATATGAGGATAGCTAACACAAGCAGGTTGCTAACACAACCTGCCCACCAAGGCCAGGTTGGACTGGACTTTGAACAACCTGGTCTTGTGTCTCTGCTGAAAGCAGGGGGCTTGGAAAAAGATTTTCTTTAAGTTCCTTTCCAACCCACACAGTTCTGTGATTCCATGAACAGGTTAACTGTAAAAATTGCTTAAGAATATCAGAAACCCTTGCTCGAGTTTCCTGGTTTTTCTCTCTCTAATATATTAATAGATACACTCAGAGCAATATGAAAAATAATAAAGGTCAAAGGTGCAAAGGAAATGAACAGAAACTGTTTCCCTTTCTCTCAGATGAAAATGGGCCAGTGTTCAGAGATACACACACTCCCATTATTCTACAGACATATTTACATGTAAATACAACCACTCTAGTAATACAATATTACAGATATACTGTATAACTATAATTATGTAGTTATATACTACACATTTAGTTTTACTGTTCTTGGGAGTAACTCATGTTCCAAAAAATGGACAAAGTGGAGGGATGAAGCACTCTCCTCTTCTCATCTTGGCATATGTGCTCTACAAGTTCCCATTCTGTGTTTTATTCTGGGGCCTTTGCCTTTAACGGTTTTGCTTTTTGTCTTAAATAATTTTGCTTCCCAGTGATTACATTCTTCATTATAAACCACAGTGTTGAGTCTATCACATATAATTTGCTTTTGTTAAACACTGCAGATGACAGATAGTTATATTTTGTCACCATTTGGACTCTTTAACAGTCTGTTGAGGCAAACATAGGTTTTATAGGTCAGAAGTTAGCTACAACAGATAAGTTGGGCAATGTTCAGGCAGCCTGTTTAGATATGATCCAAGTGCATTAAGTATCACCAATTTATACTCTCAGAGAATGTACTGAGACACAACTGAAAGCTTAGGGGAGGCATTTTCACACTTTGTGATTAATTTGTTAAAGGAACAGAGCTGCAGAACAGAATGTTAATCACCTGTATGTTGATACTCACACTTAACACACTCTCTTCTGCTGTTTTTGTTTTAGTCGTGGTGGTATTTGCGTTCATACTCTGCTGGTTGCCTTTTCACGTAGGACGGTACTTATTTTCCAAATCCTTCGAAGCCGGATCCCTGGAGATAGCAGTGATCAGCCAGTACTGCAACCTGGTGTCCTTTGTCCTCTTCTACCTTAGCGCAGCCATCAACCCCATCCTCTACAACATCATGTCCAGGAAGTACCGCGTGGCCGCCTGCCGCCTGTTCGGACTCCGCGCCCTGCCCAAGCAGAGCCTCTCCAGCAGCAAGCAGGGCAGCTCCCGCGGCTGGACAGAGCCCAGCGTCCTCACATGACACCAGGCACCCCAGCACCACCCGCCGAGCCCCCCAGGAAGCCATAACGGGAGGGGAAGAGGGCAAGGAACGGGAATCCCAAGGCTGAGAGCGCCACTGCGGTCATCACCCCGACGGGCTGAGAGGCGCGGTGCAGGCAGTTAAAGGTCTGAGGGAAAAAACCTGAAGTTTGGGACTCTGAGAGGAGAGAGGCGGTCACAGAATTTGGCAATGGTCCAGGTGTTATTTTTGTGCTGCTTCTGCCCGTTTGATTTTTTAACGCTGACTTTAGCCCAGACCTAGGCTGTGCCGTCCTGGCCAGGCAAACGTGGCCCAATTCACTCCAGAGTTTGTACGACTTCAGCAGCGCCAATTCGAGCTGAATTTTTCCAGAGTTAGCTTTAGTTTTGTTAAGAATTTTGCTAGCATCTAATCAGACCCTAGAGAGAGAATACTGAATTGCCTTTTTGGAGTAGTGAACAGGAAATTTGATACACTTTTCATAATACCAATTTTTAAGTAAGATCATGTTTTTCTCTGAATGAGGAAAATTATTTCTTAAAAAAAAAAAAAGAGATATAAAATGAATAATTTTTAAACATGCTAAAAATAAATAACTTTCATGTCACATCCAAGAAGAAAGGAAATAAAAAAAAATGCTTTCACAGAAGTGGCTTAGAACGTGACTGTACTGAAATATTTTTTAAAAATATATATCAGTGGGACAAGGACAGTGCTGACTTCAGGCCTACAGTGATGCTATAAAAATGTGGAATGCAATCACCCACCAAAGTCTCTCTTTTTTTTTTTTTTTTCCTAGCTAAATCATCTGTACTTGTTCTGTTCAGTTTGATTGTGAATGACTTGATGTGTTTGAACTTGAAAGCTTTTAATTGTTTCAATATTTGTAAGGAGTTTGTGGCTACCTGTCCCTAACTGCACCCCACTGCACCCCTAGCTTGCTGAGGACAGGTATCCTGCCTGTAAACCCCCCATGTTTCTGTTCAAAGTCTGTCCCAGTGCCACATCCCCCTGCAAAGCCTGGCGTGCATTTGTGCTCGTTTGCTGCAGTGTTGAATTGAGAACACTTTGCATTTTTTAACCACCGTGACCTGAGAAAATAATAGAAAACCCTGCATTAAAGGACACAGGCAGACACATTCTCATACTTGATTCATAAACCCCTTAAATTAGATTTTCATACCTCAAGTGTGCCATTTCAAGGCAAACCAGAAAATGTTCCATCTTCTGTGCTAATGAATGTGGCTTATATTGTCTCACCAACATGTGGGTTTTGTGCCCCACAGAGCTGACAGAGCACTGGAGCATGCATGTGTGATAGCAGCTTTCTGTTCATTTGGTTCTAGTGTTCGTTCCACAGCCCTCTGTCCCTGATGAATTTTAATTCTCCCTAGTGAATTGTGTGTCAGCAGAACTCTCCTGCCTCCAACCCCCCGCTCACACCGATGGGCCACTTCCCCCCGTTACACCTTCAGCTGCTCAGGTTGAACTCACAAGAGAAATTGGCCTCTTCTGTATATTCAGTGTCTTTTCTATCACCTTGCTGGGGCCAGGGGCTGGTTGCTGCTCCTTGGTGGCACCTGAGCCTGTCCCCTCCCCACTCCAGGAGTGCAGGATTTGCGTGCAAACACCCACACTGAGGCACTGCAGCACTGCAGCATCACCTCCTGCTTCACCTCTGCCCACAGGCACCTGGCTGTCCACGCTGTTCTCTCACTCGCTGGCTGGCGAGCAGGTCTGGTGGCAGAATTCATGCAACTCAGGGAAACAAGACATTTGGGAACCAAGGAAAGAGGGTGCAGATGTGAGCTCAGTAACAAAATGTCTGTATAAACAAACCACACACACACACCTGGCGTCACATCGGTGTTTCAAATCTCAGCTGTGTCTGTGCTGTTAAATGTGAACAGAAAAAGAAATAAAGTGATCAGACCCTTTATAACCCTGTGGCTCTGTGGTGGGGGAGGAATCAGTGTGATTCACACAACTGGATTTTAATTTTCTTTTTTTTTTTTTTTTCATGTTTATATTTTAGTTTTGTTCCCAAATCTGCATAACTAACTGGATTAGGCTATTTTGTTTAATCAGAGTAACTATAACATTAAAGCCCTGTGTAGATACATTTGTGCCTACAAATAACAGACATACTAATAATTTCATTTACCCTAAACATTTCACCAGGAGAAAAAGTAAATTTCAGCTCTACCAACACTGTAAAATTTCCACAATTTTGTGTATAGAATGAAATTTAAGACATTTGATCTGGGGTCATAAAAGTCAGAAAAGCACTGGCTGCTCCTTGGGAGGGAGGACAGGACTTCCTCCTTGCTTCTAACTGAGGAGTTGGACTCGTTTTTCCAAGTCTTTGGACAAATCTAGCAAAATACACCAATTATTATTAAAGAAAAGTAGCCACTTTCCTAGGACTCTTGCACAAGCAGGAAAATACTTCATATCTAGCAGGGAGCACAAACATTTAACACAGCGTAGCTGTCACTACACCAGCCATTAGTGTTGCTGCCCTCAGTACCAGAACTTTTCCGTATGGATTCTCTAAAGCCAGCGGGGTCACACAGCACATGCTGAGGAACTGCTGCTTCAAACTGGTACATAATGAACTGCTTTTATATGGAAAGCAGGGGAAAAAAACCACCTCAAAACCTGGATAACCCTCACTTTTGCATCATAAAATCAACCTTTGTCCGATGCCTCCAAAAAAATACACACATCCCCATCCACACTGATGGATGAATCCAGCCTTGCTTGTCTTGAGTGTTATTCAGAGACTCACAGAACATAAAAGGGGCCTTAAAGACTCTCTAGTGCCAACCCTCTGCCATGGGCAGGATGCCACCCACTAGATCAGCTTGCTCAGGGCCCCATCCAACCTGACCCTGCCCAAGTTGTAAGAAATAACTTCATGGGGGAAAAGGAAAAAAAAAGCGCAAGCAAGATTTGAAGGGCGTTTTTACCCAAGAGTGGTGAAGTCAGTCCAAGGCAGGCATCATCCACCTGTCCCAGGTACCAACAAGGGGCAAGGCTCCTCCTGCCTTGTCTCTGGCAGCATGAACAGGGGCAGAGGGCAGTGACAAAACAACCTGTACTGGCACAGTGATGCTGGAGTGTCCTGGCAAACATTCCCAGCACAGACAAAGCCTTTCTCTCGGCTTCCCAGCGTATTTCTGCAGCACCTCATGTTCCTGGCAGACTTCTCCTCAAAGCCTTCCCTACAAGAAAGGGCAAAGCTGTGCCTCCCATCCAGTTCTGGGTCTGGATGTGGTTTTTGAGATCCATTTTTCACAGGGGGAAGACAAGAGTACCTTGCAGGCACTGGGCTGTTCATTGGTGTGGGAGACAGGGCAGCTCTGCAGGAGTTTTTTCAGGCTTGAACCTTTCCATTTCTGGAAACTCCTCCTTGAGGGAACAAACCTTGCCAGTTCTGACTTTAAAAAAAACCCATGGAGACTGTAAGACTCAAAATTTTGCTGTGTTCTTACTGACTTGAATGTGAGCAGCCCATAGAGAAAATAACTGAAAGTTCATTCATTAAACAGTCCCAGTTTTAAAAGCTTTTCTACCTCTACATTTTGTATCACAGCTCCACAAATAAACAAGGACAAATTGGCTGCATTTTCTTTCTTGGCAATGAGTTAAATTGGTGATGAAATAGGTCAAAAGGACTGTACCAGAAAGCTTCATTCATTTTACAAAAGTACCTTTGATGGAGGCACGCACAAGCAGAAAATCATGTCCCATTGTATTTCCTGCCAAAAATAAAATATACTGGAAAACCAGCACTTTCTGTCAAAATTTGAATCGATAGATATTCAGCAGTTATGTAAGTTTGCATAAGCCCATTAAAATCAGCAGTTTTTAGATACCTAAACACCCAAGGGAACCCCCTCTGTGTCATGGATCTGCTGGTTTTAGGGTGCTGCTGCTCTGAGCCCAGTGGATGGTTCTGGATGGGCTGCCATTGTATCTTCTACAAAAATCCCATGGCCTTGAAGAGGTAAATTACATCTTGAGAAGTAAATTCAAATTTGGAACAAAAAAATCTAACTCATCTCCCAGGGATGGCCCTGCTGTTACTTCCCCACATCCTGAACCACCCTCCTCACCCCCAGCTGAAAGCACCATAACTACATTTTACCATCACAACTCCCAGTAAAAAGCACCAGCACTATTTTACAAAAATTAAATTGAAGGCCTTGGCATTCTAGCCCCTTGCTCAAACCCTCCTGTCCCAGAGTGATGGGGTGTGGATCTGCTTGCACCCTTCTGGATGTCATTCCTGGGTTTGGGCTGGGTCTGGCAGCTCCCAGCATCAGCCTTCTGTTCCTGAGCTGTGCTGCCAGAGTGCCCAGCACAGTAGCCCATTTGTTCCCAAACTTTATTTGGGAAACAAGCAGCCTCTGGCTGACACTGCAGAGACACCATGTGCTCAGTTTCCACAGCCCTGGCTCTGCATCCCTGCTGTCCATGGTGAACCTACACCTGCAGGGGGTTTGTGTCTGCACAGGAATCCTTGCACCAGCCCCTGGGCCTGCACACACACAGGAGCTTCCCAGAAAACCTCAGGATGTGCCAGCAGATGCAGTTGCAGGAGCTGATGTCCCAGGTCCCCTGCATGTTTGACACTCCCTGCTGTCAGGCACAGGCAGCTGCAGTCTCACCCTGCCCAGCGTGATGCCAGCAGCACCTGGAGAGCTGGAAGCTCCCGTGGTGTTAATGGGAAAATCTCTGCTCCTCTGGGCAGTCCATCATTCACTGAGGGCAGTGACACACACCCCCTTCAGCCATCTCCTCTCCCATCCCCACCTGATGGACCACCCGGAATCCTTCCCAGCTCTGCATAAACTTCACAGGAGCAAAACCATTGCCTCACACAGACATGCTTGCCAATGGCTTTTTCCTCTGAAACACGAGTTCTGGTGAGAGACAGGCAAAACCCACAGGGGTTTGGCTTCATGTCCCACGTCCCTGGCCAAACTTTTGCCCAAAGCAGTTGTTAGATGATGGGGTCCAGCTGTGCCAGCTCTGGCAGATCATGAAACCACAACCCTGCCTGCTGCTGTTTAGGAAAAAAAAGCAGAAAAGCAAATGTTAGATCAGAATTTGCCTCTTATCTCTAAATTGTGATTATGCCAGTACAGTGGAGGAAAGGAAAATTTAATCCATCTTGTATTGATGCAGGCTAACAGGTTTCTGCAGTCACTCACTGTCAAGCCTTAGTCCAGTTGTCATTCCAGCACACATTCCAGCACATTAGCATTATCCCATGTAAGTAACATACTTCCTGGGTCTTTAAAAGGTTTCCTCAGTGCTTTTTCCAGCACCAAGGTCTCCATTCCCTTCCAAGTCCAGTGCTTGTGTATTGTAGCCCTTCCCCATGTCAGTTGTGGATTGGTGCATGCCGTGACTTTTTCCCTAAGACCAAAACTCTCATTAACCCAATTACCTGGATCAGGACAAAAGCACCTGGGGTTCTTCTTGGAGCTGACCTGGTGATGCTGAGTGCTCATTTCTCTGGGACCTGCAAACACACTGACCCGGTTCTGCTCAGAGAGAGGAGGTGGCTCTGCAGCACAATTTGGAGGGCAAACACCTCTGAACCCATGGTGCACACTGATGTGCAGAGTCACCTGGATCCCAGCCCTGACACCAGGGAGTGGCCAGGAGTGAGCTGAGAAGGGAACACAGTGTGAGAAGAATCCCTCAAATGTTCTGCAGTATCCCAGCAATCACCCCAAGGGATGGGAGCAA